GTAACTGAACTGCTGTAGAGCGAACTGAGCCTCGCAGGACTTACATGCCAAATATATATGTATATGTATATATATATATATGGATTTTGAGATATATTAATTGAGTATATTATTGGACTTACTTAAAATTTGGTTTCTGAATATGACATTACATGAAATACAACTCCAACGATCAAGACTGGAGAGGACAATGTTGAAAACAGTACTTAAATCAATCACCTGAAGTGATAGGGCTATGATAGGCTCCTATTTCAAACTTTCGTTAATTGTTCCGTTACCTTGGCGTTTTATTTTCTGACAAACCAGGTAAAGGTAAAATGGTATTTTTAACACTCTTATTAAATAATTTAAACTAATTCACACAATGCACTGCACTATTAAACTTAAATGCCTCCAGTGCCCGTATCTTATACTAGGTGAAAATGCTGGCCTTAGAACCCACATAAATGGTTTAATTAAACGAAGTCAATTCTAGGAGCGACATCACTTTATGCTTGTTGTATTTAACAGGACATACCATGTCATCACTGAAAGAATCGCTTAATTATTCGAAGAGAGTAAATGGGTTGTGATCAAACTGATTGCTCACTAATACATATATCCGCGTTTAAATTTCCAAATAAATCATTGAAAATTTAGTGCAGGAATTAATGTAGTTTACAGACAGTTAGAGGAGAAGTACAGAATAAACGCAGTGAGCAAAAAAAGAATTCAGAGGCTTGGAGTAAGCTTAATGATAATGATTAGCAAAGAGCTCACCTTTTTGCATTAAGTTGTTTGGAATTCGTGTTGAGAATAATGGTGTCAATAGTTGAGATTTCCTAAATTGTTGAGGAATGTCAGATTTATTGTCGGTCCTTGAATCTGTTGTGCTTTATTCGTTACTGAGTACCAGGTTGCCTAATTAGTAGTTAATACACTCCACATCACTGTTCGGGTGTGAATATAACGCGGGCTCTGGTGAGGTTCAGTTTGTTGCTTCAGCCAGCCTGTGAATTTGGAACTACTAGTACAGAGGGAGTAGGCAAATAATGTGCCGTCTTGCACAATTACTCCGACGCAAACAATCGAAGCAGAAAACAGGGAAGTCATATGCAGGTGAGGTGTTGGCAGAGATAGACGAATTGATACCCTGGTTGAGTTCACTAATCCGACAATGTGAGTCGTGTGTGGTTAGTTTGGACTCGGCATAGTGGTGCATAAGAAAACCGTTGCGATAAGAATACCAAGTCAAGCAAGTGCCTGTGTATCGTAAATGCGGCGGCACAATGCGATGTGCCATTCGCTTCTGAGGACAATCCAAATTAATGTCAGGATGATTTGGCCAGACACACTTGGCACGAGTACTTGTGCAATAATCTGGCTCGTTCTCGTGCTGGTCCCATTTCGCCAGGTGCACAATGGATATGTTGCACCTAGTCCGAACACCGAAGCTGGCATCACGCGTGATGGCGGTGCTGAAGCATGGATCTGAGGTAGAACATTTGTGATTAATTTTGCTTAAATGCCTGGAGGAAGTTCAATGGTGGAGTGAAGCGCGTGGTTGTGGATGTCATGACGGAGTCTACTTTCAAGCCACCATGAGCGATCTATGCATGCCTGAAGTGTGCTTTTATTGAAGGCTCTATTGACCCATGACTGAGCCGACATGTTTTCATACATGCTTTAGCTGCACATTTATTATTTGTCTTAGGAGACATTTAAATCCTCTCGTTCCCAACTCTCTGATAAAATCTTTCACGTATTATTTTAACTTTTTATTTGCACTAGAGCCTAAATTACACCTTAATTATTAACCAATTGCAGTTATTTGGATACGTTGCAAGACGTCGCACCTTTTGTGCAACGTTTCACCAAATTTACGGTCTTCGTGTTTTGACGTAATTTGATTAGCTGCCTTACTGCTATCCAATGCCCTATACCCAAATAAAAATTGGAGCTTGAGAAAGTACATGAATAAGGTATCAAAATTGGTAAATACACAAAGTGAAAAGAGGAGAAATATTCAGCCTGATTTGAAGAGGAGGATTGCGACCTGGCCCATGTAGAAGTAGATAAAGTTCTTCGACTCGTGGGTTACATAACTGAAATTGACCAAACCACGTGAAAATAAATTAAAGCCTATGCCAAAGGTGTCCCGGCACATGAGATACTCACCTGCCAAAATTACGGCCAACCACACAATGCCAGGTTGGAGAGTACTCCTTGTCGAATTTCTTTTTTAGGTGTGCGGCGATGTCCTTCTCCATACTACACTGTTCTATCGCCTCCTTCGCGTAATCTACCGCCTTTTGCTGCATTTCTTCAGGCATGTCGGCGTTTTTGACGATAGCCTTGAAGTTGTCGGCCATTTGCTTGTACACCCGTGATGTGTCGACTCGACCGCACCTAATTTGCGCTGCAGTTTAAATATCCTCATCGCCGGCTGCAACTTCGCGTCAAGGACACATGGCGCCTGGAGATGTGTGTGCTCGACTGGAAGGAGGTCGTCTTAGGTTACTTGCGTATTCGTTCACTGAACACGTTTTGTTTCTATGTGCTCTCGTGTGCGTGTGCGTGCGCATGTCGGAACGTAACAAACTGTAACTGCGAAATTCGATTCACGTTTACAATTTTCAAGTTAGGAGCCCCGAGTTCGGCTGTTCTGCTTCAGTTTCGTCTACTTGATTAGGATTATTTACACAATTTAGTTATTTCTAAGTGAAAGCGACATTGTTGAGCTTAATCATGCTTACCCTGTTGTTCTCATTTATTTAACGCTCGTGAAGAATTATTCAAATGATGGATGGTACTCATCGTATCGTGTTTACTTTTTTACTTTGAGGGCACACAAAATTTTCTTTGAGAAGCATGAATCTGCAAACTGGATCATGGGAGTCGTAGAATTGTCTGTCAATCTTTTGGAATTTCACAGGCCATAAAAGTGTGCTTTGCTGGGGATGCAGGCTGCGATGTAACTGGAACCACAGCTGCACAACTAAACAGTAGAACTACAGATTGCGATAGTTAAGACCTTAATATAAATGTCACTTCTTTTTTCATGAAACCTGACTTGGCATTGAAATAAACTTAAATCTTCAGATTTTATCTTATAATAATAGCCTATTAAGTAAAAAATACGCACATGGTTTAAGAAAGCTGGAATTAAAAGTGTGTGTGTGAAAATAAATCGTACCGGATGATATCAAGAAACCTTAAATGTAGTTGCCCAAAGAGCTTAGCAAGTAGAATATAGCAAACAACGTATGTATGTATTTGTGGATCGTTTAAAAATTCACCAATATTTTAACACAAAATCCTCGAAGTTTAGTCATAAATTTTTATTGAAAAACTACTGTTTATTTAGCAAACCATAAACATAGAAGAAATCATTAGGGGATTTCGGTAAATACTGACGGAGTTTAACTAGGAGTCAAACTAATTATAATTTCCAGCAAACGGATCTTGCCTTGTTTTCTGCTCCTTAACGCTACTGGGCGAATCCATAATTATGTTCAACAATTTTTGGTGGCAAGGTATCTTTTTTAGTGACTAGCGGTGATACCGCGTTAGTGGAGGTGGTGCTAAATTAGAGTGTATCCTGTGCCTAAATCCTCGTTCATTGGATCAGTTTTATGGGCCGGTCAACAATTATGTGCTGCCTCAATGTATTACCTCTAAGAGACTTTTGAAAGTGATTGTTAAAAACCCAAACAAAAATCGAACTAGCAATTGAGGCGACTAATTATACAATTTTGAATGTCCCAGAATTTAGCCATTTGGAAGAAGGCGGTGGGCCATGTCATACAATTGAAACGCAGTCAGCACGGTCTTGCAGCTCAAGTTTGGCAGTCGCACAGAGATTTCATCCTTCTTTCACGAAACCTTTAACCAGAGCAGATGCGTAAAATCACTAGCTTTTAGCGACATAGCCTGGTGTGAGTTCATTTCATGCCTTTTGAGTACCATCTCCCCTGTATTCCATCGCGAGTTCACATATATGCTGACTCTTTCACGTCAGTGCATATTAAGCACTGCAATGGAAGTAGGCCGGTTAAAGACAAGCTTGCTAGGAAACTCATTCATCCGTTGTGGGTTCCTGGCGTTTATTCTGACTAGCCATTCACAGAGCAGACAACTGAGGCAAAATTACGCAAATATTCCCGAAAATTCTGGTTCTTACATCGTTCTAAAAAAAGTACAGACGAAATATCAACAAGTTAACTTCACTTTTGTTTCCAAGTCCAACTTAGTAAGCAAATCTCTAAACATTCTCATTTAATTCCTCATCTCACCGTTTGGCAAATTTGGTAAATTTAAAGCCCATGACATGGAATTAGGGTTTGTAATTCCTTTCACTTGTTTTGAGGCATGAACCAATTTTGCATTTTTTTTCTCTGATCCATTATTTTTTCATAAATTGCAAATTTATTCATCTAAAAAAATATTTAAATTGTCACAAACATTAAACATTTGTGCAAATTCGTCTAATAAACGTTTTCAGGTGCAACAAGCTACCCAACCTCAATAATACCTTAGGTTCAGTACTTGTTAAGTATTTTCACCTTTGGCGCAAAGAAAACGGGGAATACGTGGTGCTTTTCAAAATCCCCTCAAAAAGTTTTTACCTCATTTTAATGGCCCTGTCTGGTAATGTTATTCAGTTATTTATCTTTAGTATGTTCCTCATAAAAGCCATAACTACGTCAAGAATATAAGTTATTAAATTGTAAATGCTAGGTATCTCACACCACTGAGCACCACTATGATAACTAATGTATTATTGAACATAATAAGGAGATGATGTCTGCTCATGTTCAGATCAGAGTTGTCTGTTACCAGAGATCACGTTTCTAAAGCAGACGTTTACTACTTCCCACGTGTTAATAAAAAGATTCCACGTTTTCGAGGCTGCCAAACTGCACAGTTATTGCGTATGTCAAAGCTTTCCAAAATCATCAAGGTTATAATTCAAACCATGACATGCTTCTTTGCACTACGAAATACTAAGTTGTATGAAGTGTGCTTGGACGACATTCTAAGGTCGGATTGTCAGTTCAACAGGCACGCTTTTTCGACCTGTCTCTGCACGAATGTTTTGACCAGCATCGACAGCCTACTGTTGTCAAGGGCTGCTAATGAACTGAAAAAAAAATAAATATTGCGATAGCAACTGGTTAGGTTGATGTCTGGCGTTAATTAAAAGAATCCTTTCTTTTTCAAAACCAAAACTTAAATTATTTCTTTTTGGCAGTTTGCTTAGTAATCTGAAACGATGACATGTGCTGAAAGCTGTTCTAGTATATTGCGACCTCTAATTTTATACCGCAGAACTGTGGAAAATCTGATGCTGATTGAGTTCCATCAGTGGAGTTAGCTTAATCAGAACAACCTTTAGGGTGTTTTAGGTTGTAATCGTTCAAATCGACTCACCTAAGACTAAATTTCTCACGCTCAAAACTGCTTGCTGTTGCATTGTTTTCCGCTAGAGGTGGA